ACACAACAGAAGAAATGAGGCAAGGATCTTAAACAAGTTGCCCTAGATCCCATGGTTAGTAGAGAAAAGAGCCAGGACTGGAAGCCAGGCAGACTGGCCCCAAAGCCCACACTCCTACCCCCTGCACTATAGTACTTCTTTTGAACCTCCAAACCATATTTTCCCCCGTTGGATAATTATTATTAGTGCCCAGTAATACACTTGCAGTAGAGATGCAGCCTGGGAGTCAGAAAACTTGGATTCTCGTTCTGTGCTTTAACTACTTGGGAAGGAACAGCATTTTAGGTAGGGAAAATGCATGTGCGAAGGCCTAACGGCCACCGGGAGGAAGAAAGAAGTCCCAGATAAGGAGCAATGGGAAGCCACTGCAGTGTTTCAAGTTCGCGGGAGGAGAGGGGTTAGCTGTGACATGATCACAAAGATATTACACCAGTATCACCATGGCTGCCTACAAGAGAGCAAAAGTGGATTCAGGAAGATTTGCTAGGAGGCTGCGGAGAAAATCCAGGCAAGAGGTGATGACGGTTTGGGCCAGGGGGTTGGTAGTGTGGGCGGGGGAGGGGAGGATGGGAAAAAGGTATTTTAAAACATGTACTCTTGATTGAAACGGATTCTGATTAGATTGTGTAAAGAGGCTTTAACAAAATAGTCCAGAGTTACACTTCCAAACAAGCGTTACTGCCTTCAAAGTGTCATATTGGGAGGTTATACCCCCATTTCAATGAGGCTTCACGGTTCTAAACAATTCTGGAAAGCCTCGTTTAGGACTTCCTTCAGAACCACTTTATAAGCCAAACCAGAAAAACAGGCTTATATATATATATACACTCATACTTTATAAATCCTGAAAGCTAAGGGAACTATGTGTAATGTTGTTAAATTGCTGCAGGGTTTATGAGAATTTCCAGTTATGAGTTTGGCCTTCCGATATATACAGAGGTCACTGCTGTAAGAAAATAAGCAAATATGGAGGGAAAAGCTAAGTCATCTAATTCTCCATCAAAGAATGAGGATGTGTTCTTTTGGCAAAGAGCTGGCCAACTCAGGAAACTCACAACAGGAGAAATGCTTGGACAATCAGGAGGGGATTTCTTTCTTTAGGGAGCAGGTAACAAATCTATCTTAGAAGACTGACAACAAATTTCTCACAGAAAAACAAGAAGATTGAAGTGATATCCATCAGTTTTTAGGAGCAGTAAGAAGCATGGTGGGAAGAGTTGAAATTTCAGAACCAAGGCTAGGAGTCAAACCCGGGTTCTCCAACTCGCTGTGCACGCTTGCACAAATTCTCTGAGCTTTACCGTCCTCATGTGGAAAAGGGAGACACCCATGCCAGGAGTTTTGTGAAGTTTAATGAATACAGCCCTGATTTCCAACCCCTCCCCCAATTTCCCTCACCTCACCACCTTTTCTTCAAGTTAAAGAGCAGGAGACTCTGGGGGGGCAGAGGTTAAAGGGCAACCCTCCAGGAGAGTTCAGGCTTCACTGGCTTCACCTTTCTTAGCTCTGCAATACTGGGGCACAGAAGAAACAATTCCTGGCTACTTTATCAGCCTCCCTGCGAAGAAGGGCTGAGGCCAGCAGGCAGTGCCTTTGGTTCAAGGGACATTCCCAAAGGATCTGGCCATTTAAGGAAAAAGCAGCCCATTTAAACCCCTGAATGTTTGCAAGAAACTGAAACAACCTCAATGCCCAAGAGTAGGAGACTGGTTGAACTGTGAGAGAGAGTACCCGAAGGCACGTTCACATGATGGAATTATATATCGAAAAAGAATGTTAAATGACATGGGGAGATGGTCATAATAAATTAAGTAAATGTTGCTGTAAAATAGTATATACCTATGAATTCTTGTCTTTTTCAAACAATTGACTTGTGGGAAAATACAGGAGGAAATAAAAATTGTCAACAATAAATTCTGACTGGTAGGATTAGGGGTGTTTTAAATTTTTTCTTTTCTAAACTGTATACAATAAAGGAATATTTTTTAAATATAAAATTATAAGTAATTATGATATAGTATTGAAAAAACAACTCCACTGGGCAGAAATTGTGACTACTTTATTCATCACCACAGAAAAACAAGCATTTAAGGAAACGTGTTTTTTTTCCTGAGCAGTAGGGTAGAGGATTTGTAAGAGGGGAAGGTGCCTCTTGATTTTCTCTAAGTTTCCTCCTTTTTTCCCTTATCCTCCACTCTAGAGTTGTTTGTTTGTTTTCCCAGAATTGAGTGGAAAAAAATCAACCTGGCTCTTTTCCAGCCCAGGGATGCTAACATCAAGACCGAGTGGGGAAATTTCACAGAGTTCATCCTTTCCAGTACCAGCGGCTCCCGGCCTTGCCAGGGAATCTGCACTCTCTTTGGCATTCACTTTCTGACAGTTGCCTCTCGAGGTAGCAGCAAGATAACCTGGGAAATTCCTGTCTTATATCCTCTGCAGGAGTTCAGGTCTTGGCTTGAGAGCAGAAAAGGGAGGAAAACACAAGGCCCAGAGTTTCTTGAGTTCTTAAAATAAGAGCACTTACAAGGCAGTTAAGAAACTTTACATTTATCATGGCTGTAATTGTTAAGAATAACTACCATTTATTGAACCCCTTCCATGTGCCAGGTACACACTGCCTTCTCTCATCTGACTTTCACATTGGCCAATTAGATATTATCCCTATTTCACAGATAAAGACACAGGCTGACGTCAAGCAATGTGCCTAAGTTCCCAGTGCTACAAAGTGGCAAGATGTAAGGTGCTTCAGAGATTGCAAAGTATTCCAAAATTGCCTCTGTTATTCTTCACACTGCTCTGCGAGAGGAGGATTCTACGTTTTAACTTGTGAAATTAAGGGACAGATGGCTTTAAAGTCCCTCCTGAGGGTCTACATGGCTGATTTGAAAGAGCATTTCCAGTTTTTGGTTTCAGAGGAGGGGTCCTGTACTTAGTAGGTCAATGGTGGGAGCCAAAGAAGGGCCTATTACACTAGATCATGGGTGACAGATTTTAATTTGACCCTGAAGAAGGTAGGGTGTGGTGGGATGCTAGATACTAGCAGCAAACAACCACATCATGATGTGTCCTAACACTGTCCAGACAAGGAGACAGTCCCGTACATGGGATAGAGGACCAACTAATTCCGGAGTTTGCTGGAAGGCGAGGAAGGGAGCAAATGGCTCTGCCAGGGAAGAAAAAGGCAGAATAGCCTAGGTCAGCTGATAATGTTTTGATGCCTGGTGGGCCAGCTTAACCATACCTGCAAAGACTAGGGGCTCTGTGTAAATAGCTGTGAAATTATTTTCGCCAGGTATGTATGCTATCATGAAGTAGTATTTTATTCAGGTCCTGAATAAGTCAATCTATGACCAATCCTTAAAGTACCATATGTGTTAATATTGACTTTTTGATATGTACACGTAACAGAAAGACAAAAAGACAACATGGCCATAACAATTTACTGCATTTTCACTTATTTGGATGAAAATGGGACTACACCAAAAGCTATTTGAAGTAAAGTAGTGAACTGAGACACTAAGTTATTTTCATTGTATCTATACTGCTTGCTGTAACAGAATTAAATTCCTCACACTTGGTATTAACGTAAGTTAATTTTAAAACTAGTAATATTGATTAAAATAATTATTGCTTTTTGGGGGGGGAGCAGCAAAAGAGAAAGCATTTTCCCAGAATTATGAATTAGCAACCTTGGTTCCAGCTCTGCCCCCAACTAGCTAAGCAATTCTGAATAAATCTCTTACACTTCAGATTCCTCACCTGTACAATGAGATTCTACGCGGCAGGTGATGGCAGGTGACGTTTGATATTCTAACTGTTCTATGGGACAAGCTAGCATTCCACAGGAATCCACAACAACAGTAAAACTAAATCCAATGAGCAGGTGCCCTTAAGCCCAGAGTAAGTATCCCTAAATGGCAAATGCTGTAAGACTCTGACACTCCTGAATGGCTCCCTGTCCTGCAGAGTATGAAGCAGGGAGATTTGATGTTACACTGTAGTAGAAAAGCTTTCCCTTCACTTTGTTTTCATTTATACGGAGAAAAGGAAGAGCAAGCTGGTCCGAGTATAGGATTTGGAAACTGCAATCCTGGGAGTCAAGACGGGAAGCCACCTCTTCCAGTTGCTCTGACTTGAACCCTGATTAATCTTCTGCAAGTTAAATTTTAACTATCACTAGATGGGACCTATCACCTGCTTGGACCTGTCAGGCCTCGGATCTGTGCTCTCCCAGAAGTAAAGGTCTGGTCTTTGAGATCCCAGGAGGAAGTGTTATGCTCTAAGAAGGATAAATGAGATACACAACTAACTACAAACACAGGTCTTAATGAATTCAAGACATAGTGTGTCATACCTGAAAATGTGGAAAGATTATTTTTTCAAATTTATGTTTAATTCTTCTGAAGACCTGCTTGGCAGTCACAAATCTACTGGACCTCTTGTGAGGATGAAATAGGGAAAACTCAAACGAGGATACTAAACACTAAGTAGGACAGCTTCTGGAAATTAAGAAGGGGAATTTCCCATGTGGTCAGGCAAATATACCATTCCTTATCTTTCTGGCCCATCCAGAAGTTCTGACACTTATGCTTCAGTCTTCTGTGGTAGTTCAAGCCTGCTTAACCGCTTATAGGGCCTCGTGCCAGGCTTTGGGTATTTTCATCGGTTACTCTTGTTCAGTAAGCGCGGCCTCCAAATTTATAATCCTCCTCCTCATTCCACTCCATCCTCCCTTCATCTATAAGCCTTTAATGCATTCCATTTATCACTGTTCTTCCCCAACCAAAACAGTGTCAGGGAATTGCCGAAGGGGAATCTCTATAAAAGTACTAAGAGAAAGGGAGGATGAGTTACTGCCCACAAATCGGGTACTTTAAAGGCTTTTGCTTTAATCACGAGTTAAGACGTACAACCACGAGGAAAGCAGGAGCTTTCCTCTGCAAGGACTGCCCACCTTCCTCCCCGGGTTGAAGTTTCCCATGAGTAAAAGAAGGCATCACCTCATCACTTCCAAGATGCCGTCGACACTTCTCTACCTTGGCAGGTACTTCTTTTACGACGTGAAACGCTTTCTAGCATATCCACCAGTGAACAGGTCCCTAGACCTGGGGTTTTTCTACCGCTGGGACAACGCGGCCGGCTTTGTTTTCCTTCTTCCACAGGCCAAAGCCCTCCCACCAGCGTCGAAGCCAGCTCCTCACTGGTCCAGGAGTGTGCTCGTCTCCTCAACGAGCCAATCAGAGACTCACTTTCTACCCCAGGGATTTGGGAAACGGAAAAGACCTCGACCTGTTCCTGGGAGGAGGGTGGGGCCATGAGTGAGTGACAGCTAGACCCTCCAATAAGCAGGGCGTTAGGACCTGCCCCGGGCTAGAAAAGAGCGGCTATGCCAACGGCAGGGATGGGTCCTCGGAGGTGCCGGCCGCTCGGTGGCTCTGAGGAGCGGCAGCTACTGGTGGCCTGTTTGCAGGTGAGTGTTTTATTTTTGAATATCACTGTTGCGAAGGTTTCCATTTTAAAATGATGTGGTGTTTTATTTTGGAGTGCGGGAAGGCCAGTTCTTTGACTGTCCCTGTTCAGTCTTCGGTGAGAATCTGGCGCTCGCTCGTCCGCCCCTCGAGCTCTGACCCTCACTTATCGCCCAGGTCCCTCTCCGCTGCCCTTTCTCAGGGAGTCACAGATCTGTCAGCTGAAAGGAGGACTCCACCGTGATAGTGGTGTCCTGATGGCGAGAATAAATAGGAGTTGAAGGCAGTGATGAACTCATCTCTCCTGGACGTCTGGGCATGGTGTGGCAGAGCCCACAGGAGGGGTCCTGGAGGGACGCTCAGTGTGTTTTCACGGCCATGCCACTATATTCAGGGCGATGGCAGACCTGGCCCTAAAGTCTAAGTGGATAGAAAAAACCTCAATGCCATGGAAGGAGAAAGAGGTGAATATCTGCAGTGGTTTCATGTAGCACTCAAATGTAGAGCTAAATCACAGTGTCTTAGAACCACTAAAAATAAAAAAGTAAGTGTATTTCTCCTCGTTTCAAAGGGATAGGGCTGTGTTACTAGAGAAGGGCAGTGGAAGTGCATAATGGAAGTAAAGTTCAGAGTTAAGTTCGGAAGGATAATTGGTTGTTAGCTAACTTATATAACTCCCATTCCTCTACTGCCTCCCTTCCAAATTATGGGAGATTTATACCTTGTGAGTGGTACTAGAATGTTAACCGACTTTTGGGGAAAAAATCAAATGCTATCTTTCACCAGTAGCTACCAAGTTTTTCTGTAATGAAAGCAGAACACGTCAGTTTGTCTTTTGTTTTAAAACTTTCTCCCCTGAGGCCAGAGACTAGGTTTTATCCATCTTTGAATTCCTGTAGCACCTCGTACATCACACATGCTCCTCAAATGGTAGTGGATTTTACAGAAGCATAATTCAAACAAATGGTGTAGTGGAAGGAACTCTGAGTTGGAATTCAAGACACCTAGGTTTTAGTCTTGAAGCTTTTGCTATTTGTATGATCGTAAACAAATCATTTCAACTCTCTGACTCTTTATTTTTGCGTCTTTAAGGAGCAGATGTTGCATTAGATTATTGCCAAGGCCCCTACCTGTGTTAAAAGTCTGTTTTAAAATAAAGATGATTAGACATTTTCCACCAAAAGTACATAAACTAAATCTCTTTGCAGTGAATTCTGTACCAATCTGTTAGCAGAAAAAAGTTCCCAGCTGCAGGGGTAGTACCTGTTGTTTCGTGTCTATTTTTAAACCAAACCAAACGGATCATTGTAGAAAATGTGGTCATTGTACAGAAGTATAACATGGCAGAAAATGTCATCCTTTATTCCATCACTCAGAGGGAACCACTGTTAGTGTTTGGGTAGATCTTTCATTCTCTCTTCCTCTTTTACCTTCTATGGTTGGTTGAGATGAAGTGGCACATTTCGTTTTAGGTAATGACTGAGGCATCTAAATTCACCCGTACCATCATCTTTGTATGCCTGGTGCCTGGAGGACAGAGAACATGCAAATGTTTGCACTCGTAGGTCTCTTGAACATCCTTGAAATGAAATCTTGTGTGTGGGGATGTTTGTATGAGGAAACAGGACTAAAAGTTTTACTCAACAAAACTCACTGAAACTTGGCCACACATATGGAAAAAACATACTTTATAAAATGTAAATTAAATGTCAGCTACTTCACTTAAAGCATTTGGATTGTAGAGTATTGCTGAGCATTTGGTGTGCTTTCAATATCTTACCATCCTCCCTGCCCCCCCAATACACAAACAACATTTGATTGCGTTCCTCCTACCACTACCTAATTTAACCTTTTTACTTTACCCCTACTCTCATTTTACTTTATTCCCAGCTTTTGCTTCTCCTCATGCCTTCAGCAAGGTAGGGCCACTTTCAGGGGCCTGAGGTCTGTGCCAGTCTTCATATGTTAGTCCAAGTCTGCTCCATTCAACGCAGAATACTTCCCACTCTTTGGTAGGGTGCTTCACCATAATCTCATTTTTAGTCTTCTTACTAGCCCCTTGAGAATAGTGATTTCGTTATGTTCATCTTTATGGATAAGGAACCTGAGGTCCAGAGAATTTAAATAACTCGGACAAGATCACACTGTTAATGAGTAGCAGAGCGGGGACTAATGTCCAGGTTTCTTGACTTCAGAGTTTTGGGATTTGGTGAAAAGAGTTTGTGTTGACAAGAGCTACAACCATAGAGGGGTAAGTAACCAGAGATAGGAAGGAGGTGTTGTGAATGGGTGTTGTCTGCATCTGTGTTGCCATGCAGGCTAGAACAGGCAACATGCCCCAGGCAAGCACATATCTCATTACACATGTATATCTCTTCCCTGTGAATAGGGGTCTACCTGCCATGGTTTGCCACCCTCGTAACAAGTGATGAGTAGAGGCTGTTAGTAGATGTCAAGTTGGACAATGACAGGGTAATAGTGCCTGGAAAACACCTGTGAGTAATAGCATTTGCTCCTGGTAAAGAGGTGTCTTGTACTGTAAATACAAATGGAAAAGTTACTGTAAAGCTTTGGGAACAGTAATAGGTGATGGAACACTAGGTACCTTTAGATACAGTCATGTTTGAACTTTTAATATTGAGCTTGATTTGGGGGAAGGCACATTTGGTTAAGACTAAGGAACTAAGATTCTAAGAATTTCGTTTCCCTTAAGAACTGTTCCCTTTTAGTTTATGGTTAATCTCTCTTTTTCCTATCCTCAAATATCGCCAGCCTATTTTCTATAGAGTTAGATTCCTAATGCAATAGGGGTAAGAATTGTTCAAAGCTTTGCAGTGAGGATTTGGACCAAGGAAAACATCTGAGCAGTCTAGGGGAGCATTTGAATATTTAAGAGTAAGCTTTGGATCAAAGCGTCTCTGGCTCTGTATCCCTTATTTTATATTACTTCAACATTATGTCACTGAGCGCTTTTCTTACTCAGTTTTTGGGAACAGAAAACTACGTTTTTAGGCTGGTCTTTATCGTATAGTTTTCCCCACCTGTTCATGAGTTGTCACACTAGAGTATTAGACATTATTACTTTTAAACACCTGAGGAAGGGAGGAAGCAATGTCCGAGGAGGATTAGTTTGGAAGACAGGATGAGCCTCAGTTATGGTGGGAGGGAGAAAGTCATGTGAAATTATATGGTTTAATGAGGGGCAGGGGTAGGAGGCAGCAGCAAGATTGTTATGCTCCATCTTTTGAAACTACCTAGAGATTCTGGAAGTATTGTAAAAGTAACCTCAGTAAATGCAGTGCTTTGCATATGCACCAGTCCCCTATCTGCCTATCCTCTCCATCCTGCCTTGTCAAAAGGATGCTAATCTTGAAACATGACTTCAAATTCATGGTGCCATTTATGAAAACAATATTTTTTGCTCTATAGTCAACTTACATGGAATTTCTATACATACTTATAGTGAAAGGTCTTTGAAAATATGTGTCACATGCAACGTGTGTGTCCTTTGAATCACCTGTTTCTTTATTGCCAAGGCAAGTGCATAGCAGCTATTCCTGAGCAGGTAAACAGTCACCTAAGTGTGAAGCACAGTGACAGTTTATGAAGATGTCTAATAGAGGTAAAGCATGTCAAACTGAGAGATTATATTTTTGAAGTTGGTTAACAAGATGAATAAGTTTTTTCCTCCAGGTCTATGTTGAACCCGTTATTAAATAATTCAATTAAGTAAAAGTAAACTACTCAGACTGATTTAAATGCGCTATTATCTTCTGTGAAAGATAAAAAGTTAAGAAGGGCACCGCTTGGCAAAAGCCATGCTATGGTAGGTGTCCCACATATAAGGAAGAGGAAGATGGGCATGGATGTTAGCTCAGGGCCAGTCTGCCTCAGCAAAAAGAGGAGGATTAGCAGTAGTTAGCTCAGGGCTAATCTTCCTCAAAAAAAAAAAGTTATGAATGGGATTCCATTACTTAAGGTACTTGCAGTTCTGGCCAAGAATAAAATCAGGTGATTTAATAATCTCGAGATTATCCCATGACAGAATGCTTAAAGGTTCAAAATGCTGATGTGGTTAGTAGATCTGACTGTGGTATCAAGCTAGAGCAGAGATTGGCAAACTAAGGCTTTCTAGCCCACTACCTGTTTTTGTACAGCCCACAAGCTGTGAATAGTTTTTACATTTTTAAATGGTTCAAATAAACCAAAGAATAACACTATTTCGTGTACCTGAAAATTTTGTGAAATTCTAATTTCAGCATCCATACATAAAGTTTTATTGGAACACAGCCTCATATATTCATTTACGTGTTGTCTCTGGCTGCTGTCAGCTAGAATGGCAGAATTGAGTAATTCAGCAGAGAACATATAGCCCACAAAGCCTAAGGAGTTAACTATTTGGCCTTTTACAGAAAAAGTTGCCAACACCTGAGCTAAGCTGTAGTGTCTCTCACATTCAACTCCATCCCATTTCAACAGCCATTATCCTGGTCCAGGTCTTCGTTATATGTTACCAGAATTATTGCAAAACCTCACAAGTATTCATATCTCTGGTTTTTCGCATCTCTCTCTATATTTAAAAGTGCTGCTTGATCCTGCTAAAATACAAGTTATTAAACCTGTAGTGATGTCTCAGTATTTATAGGACAACCTACATTCTTTGGCACAAGGTCCTTGTAAGCCACTATTCAGTCTTATCTTTCTAGGCTAGTCTCCTCC